CACACACACACATTCCAACAAATCTTTTTGCTATCCATATATACAAGCTCTAGGCTCTAGCACATGCCTGAATCCTGATCGACGGCGCCGCCATGTTGTAGATTTACGCGATGCCGGTGTTCGACATGATCGAGACGGTGCTAGTGAAGAAGCTCAAGTTCCCTCCCGGCCTCACGCTCCGCTTGATTGCCCGGACCCTCTATGTTGGTAAGGCCCCCCGTCCCTTACCACCCGAAAAGCCAAAAAATGGCGTGTAGCAACGAATAAGACTGACGAGATTCCACACGTTTGCAGCGTTCACCATGTTCGTCGCCATCACCTTCCCTTTCTTCGGTGGCCTGCTCGGATTCTTCGGCGGGTTCGCCTTTGCGCCCACGACATACTTCGTAAGCATTTCTCTCATCCACTCCACTAAAGTTGATCACGGGAATCGGTAAAATTCAGAGTTGCTAATCCAAGTCAACACCTGCTATTCCTGCAGCTGCCCTGCATCATGTGGCTCGCCATCTACAAGCCCAAAAGATTCAGCCTCTCATGGTTCACCAACTGGGTATGCCATGTATCTCTAGTTATATATGCCTCTCCTTGGTCAATCTCAACTCCGGCCTAATTTTTGTGTGCGTGCTGCTGTGCCATGATCTTCAGGTCTGCATCGTCCTTGGAGTGTGCCTCATGATCCTGTCGCCAATCGGAGGGCTCAGACAGATCATCTTGGATTCCAAGACATACAAATTCTACTCATAGACCACTTCTACGACGCATTGTGTCCTGTGAAAACTGCAAGAGATCATTTACGATGCCTACCACGAACTCTCTTGCTTGCAAAGGAAAAAGAAAGGAACATCATAGTACCACGAACTGTTACAGATGGGACGTTAGATGCATATGGTCAGAGAAAATTTGGTTTAGTCAAAGCAAATGGGATGTGTTTGTGGTTAATCATGTGTACGTAATATATATGGTGTGTGGATTTGACTCTGGGTACTGTAGAATCGACAATCTCTTTTTCTGCTCAAACTTGCATGGATGAACATGGCTTCGCTTTCGTGTGTTGATGAGAGAATCGACTGTTCTTTTCTACACCTTTTTTTGGGGGGTATGCTACTGCCTTCCAATTAAAAGAAACAGATTTTTTTAGGGGTAATTAAAAGAAACAGATGGTTGTTTAAGAGAACAAGACAACAAACCATAAGTTTTTTTATTTGATAAAACACACTTTTGTTGATTCATAAGTCATAACACGTGAAGGTGATACAAGCATGACGGTTCACATCCAGCCTTTGCATTATAAGAATGCACACAATTAAAAAGAAGGACGAAATCTATATAAAAAAAGGAAGGACGAAAGCGTAATGTCACGACAAGAGTAATCGCAAATGAAGGTGAAGAGCCGATGCGAACACTACACTGTTATGCGTGTTGGGAGAAAAAACATCCTTGACCGCTTGCTAATGTTGGTGCTCCTCTACTGCTCGGCGGCTAGTTGAGCCTTGAGATGCATGATCTCGCCGGATATGCGCTGATTTGTCGACATCTCGCAATCCTTCCAATCCAATCTCAGTCTTGGGGCTATTGAATCCCCTTCAAAACAAAAGAGAGAAGCAAAAAGCCCGTGAAGGAAAGGTTTCAATCCTCAGACTAGGCTGGAGTCTGAGGGGCTACTACATCCCTTTCAAAAACAACACATAAGCAAGAGGCTTTTGAAGAGAAGATTTGATCCTCGGTCAACCTTCCAACTTGGCCACAGTCTCAGGGGCTACTCCATCGACATTTTTATCCTAAAAGCATGACATGAGGTCCCTACAAGAAGATTTCGATCCTCGAGCCAGCCTTCCAGCCCGGCCTGAGTCTCAAGGGCTACTGAAACCGCGCGTTTTGACCTAAAGAAAAATCAAAATCCTCTAGCAAGCTTGCATAAGTCGGCTAGAGGCTCGGATTCGTGCCAAAAACAAAATGAGAAAACAGGTAAAAACCCATGTAGCGAGCCATTGAATAGGAACTGGGGATAAACTAGTGGTGAACTTGGCACAAACCTCAGGATCTTGCATGACCTGATTAGCGCCATCAGGATCGAGTGGTAGTATGTTGTAAGGATGCAACTTTTTCTTCTCCAAAATCTGCAACAATAATAGCGGGGTGACGCTTGGGTCAGATCAACATTCCTCCTGCGCCCTCCTCCTGCGCCCAGCGGAGGAGCTATGTTGAGGCCAGGCCTTGGAGAAAACTCTAAAGAAAATTTTATTTGAAGGGTCTAGATGAGGGGAAAATTAGCCTTTTCCCTTCCCGATCTTTGTCATTTGCGTTCCCCCGCAATGGTTTTCGTTTAACTCCGTCACTGCCTACGCCCCCTCCCCTCCACATGATAATTGGCTGACCACACAGTCGGTTTATTCCCGATATGGTAAGTAGTATGGAGGCGTCTGCGACTTGTTTCCCTCAAGATCTCATACCAATTTTGCGCTTTCCCATGTCTTTTATCTCTTGAAAGCATTCACCGCAAATTGTGTGCAATGCGTACCGTTATGGGGACGGGGCTTGCCTGTATTGTGAAACGTAGTTGAAAATATAAAAAATCATGCCTACGCACACCCAAGATCAATATGAAGATGTATAACAGGTTGGGATCATGATCGTTACCGTCACCGAGTTGCAGTGGAAGAATCGTACTTGGAGTCCCTCGAATCATCGATGAATGATCCCTCGTACCGCCCAAAAGTCTCTCGAACTAAAGACCGAAAGCACATCCTCTCTACTTGAATCATTATCTATATTTTCAGACCATTAAATATAAAATAGTTTTAAATATTTTCAGACCATTATCTATATCTATACTACTCCCTCCGTCCGAAAATATTTGTCGAAGAAATTGACAAAAATGGATGTATCTAGAACTAAAATACGTTTAGATACATCCATTTCTCCGACGAGTATTTTCGAACGGAGAGAGTACTATATAGTGTATCCATAGCGTCTCATATGGACCATTGGATCTTACCAATCAGAGGCTCACATAGGCTGAACAAAAACCGAGAAAAAAATGTGATGTTACCTGTGCCGTTGGATCTGGCAATCATATGGCTGCTGTCTGTGGGATTCGCTGTATGGCCTACCATCCAACCGTGCCATCTGACCATGCTCCACTCGAGAGTTTTTCGCCGTGAACTAGACTGCAAGTACACACATGCAACTCCCAAATTACTCCCTCCTTCCAAAAGTACTTGTCGAAGAAATAGATGTATCAAGATGTATTTTAATTCTAGATATATCTATTTTTATCCAATCCTCTCACAAGTATTTTCAGGAGTATTATTTTTTACCCCTACACGCATGCAGCGATGACAACCCGACCGCAGCTGTGAGAGATATTTAATGGTCGAAGTGTGCATGTCAGCCTACCATTGCAATGTTGTATGTGTGGTAACATTTCTTTTTCCTTTTGAAAAAAAGGTAGCAGTACGGTACCTAGGATAATTAGAATGAGAAAGAAAAAAGTGCAACGAACCTAGAAAAGAGTAGGTTTGGTGCTCTTTATTTTCTTATATGACATTAGTTTGAGAATGTGAAAATTTATTATTAATGAGACTTCTTCGTTTCTTTTTCCCAAAAAATGAGATTGAGTTCGATAAACTAAATGACTTCATAAATAATCCTTTTTTAAAAGAAGTAATCTCCAATTCAAAGCTTCTAAGAAATTTACAATAATGTATGTGCTTTTATTATTAAAACTAATTTAGTACCATGCTTGTACAAAGATGACGTGCAAAGCACGTACAAATTACTAGTATATATAATTTAATATCCCGAGAAACATTTTCCAACTATATATATGTATCGGTAATACCTGATATTACCCGATAATCACCGAAACCGTTCCGATGACTCCAAAATGCTTTAGGATCCTTCGGAACTATTCTGAATATTAATGAAATAATTTCACAAATATATTCTCATCACCCCCGTCCTACTAACACTCAGCAGATCATGATTGCCTTAAGACTGTGACCCCGTAGGTTCGGTAACTCATAGACATGAACGAAACCTTTCGTTCATTGACCGATAGCAAGACCATGGACGTCCATATCGATCACTATACTATGAGCACACGAATGATACTCAAGTGAACCTATGGTTCATGTGATTTTCCCTTTGCTTCGTGATGCATCGGTATCCTCCTGAGTCATCACTCACTATACTAAAATCCCCGTCACCGGTTTTGTTCTTCTTTCTCGTTATTGTATTCTGATATCTCTGTGACGTAGTCACTTGTGTTTGGCTAGATGCTGATGGATGCCGTCACACCGAGAGGGCCCTCGAAATATCTCTCCATCGTCGGCGGAGCAAATCCCACTCTCGAGCCATCCGGCCACTTGTCAAACTTTCTGATGAACTTTAAGTTGTCGTTATGATCACCGTGTTACAGGTGATGTTTGAGCAACCCCAAAGCTCACCGTATGGTAAGAAGTGACCACGATACTCTCATGGTCTAAGGAGAAAAATCACACGTTAACACTCCATGTTATTAGAATTGATTACAAACAATATATTAACTCAATTCATAACAAACAAGATTGAATATATTCAATATGATCGTTCTTCCAACATCATAATCTCAATGTTGTTTTAGGACTATCGTTACACTTACCGATATCCTAAGATCCGGGAAACGTGATCACCAACAACATTTGAGATAGTCATAGAGGCAAGACTAGGAACCTTTTGTTTAACCGTTTATCATTGCACATGTGCATATGTGTTTTCCACTGAATCACATATTCCAGGATCATAGCAGTTATAACATGAAATATAAACTCTTCAATCATGAACATAGAAATATAATAATATAAATAGTATTTCCTTTAGGGCATATTTCTAATAGACTCCCACTTGCACTAGAATCAATAATCTAGTTAGCATGTTTTTTTAATGGCAATCTAGTGTTTGTCCATGATTTGCTTGTGGTATAGCTTTCGTCCTATCTGATCTTGACAACTTCATATCTATGTGTATCATTTGCATTCTCTATGCATTTATCATGTTTTCACAAAAATTCACAATTTATGTGAAACATGCTTTGTATACATTGAATCACAGGTAGAACATTTGATTCCTTAGATTGAGCTACAGAACCACTATCGATAATAGTGTTTCATTTGCATAATCATCTATAAAGCATACCAAGTTCATAAATGAACCTTTGATTCATCACCCTCTATTGTTGTTTCTAAAGCAACAACATACTCAGCCTTCCGTTATAGAATTTGCCACTGTAAATTTCTTAGATCAGTTCCAACGTACTGTGCCACCACTAATCATTTAGTTGAAATAGAAACATCATTTAGAGCATTGATGAAGATTTTGTCGATGTACTACTTACAACGAGTATGTATTGATCTCTTCATCTTGTTTGTATGTGATAAACATGTCGTTGGTACTTAACGACATTTTCACTGTTGTCCTATGATATTTTTTTTGGTCATAACAGTAACTTTACTCACAACTTACTTGGAGTACTAGACATATCTGGTTGTTTACATACCATGGAACATATCTAACACAAGTGTGATTGAAATCATGTATTTCTCTCATTAGTATTTGAAGATACCAATTCTTGCTTAAAACTCCTTTCATGTGACTTTGCAAGAAACTCTTCTTGCATATTTCATATTAAACTATTTTAGTATTAATAATGTTGCAAATATTCCTCCAAAGATCTACTATAAATCAACATATCACCAAAATAGACTACCACAAATCGTCCAATGAAAGCACGGAAAACTTAGTTCATTAATCTCATGAAAGTGCTAGGTGCATTAGTTAACCCAAAATGCATGACTAACCACTCATTAAGCCAAACTTAGTTTTAAATGTTGTTTTTCATTCATCTCTCAATTTCATACGAATTTGAATCCACTATGCAAATCAACTTTGGAGAATATGGTAGAACCACTTAATT